TATAATCTCATTTAAGTTTATATAAGATTTTAGTTTAATTCCTTAATTTTTTTGAAAAGTATATTTTTAGTCATTTAATCTTAGAAAAAAGTAGTCTGATTATTTTTTGTAACAATTATGAGTTAGTATTTGATAATATTTTTATTAATATTTAATATGTTAATATCATCATTTTTTATTAATTTTAATATCAGAAGGTTAAAAATGTATTTTTTTACAGTTAAGTGATTAAAGTGAAACTTTGCGCAAAATTAGTCGTTCAGCCCCCCCTTCCGTCCGTCATTCAGCCCCACTATGTGCAAATTAATTATTCTACTTGCATCGTAGCATCCTCCCTGTCCTTCCGAGATAGCCCAGCTTGCTTTTAATTTCTTCTTCCTCTCTCCAGCGATTCCAGTTCCAGCGATTCCAGTTCCAGCGAACCAGAGGAGGTTCTTCCTCTCTCCAGCGATTCCAGTTCCAGCGAACCAGAGGGGGCTCTTCCTCTCTCCAGCGATTCCAGTTCCAGCGAACCAGAGGGGGCTCTTCCTCTCTCCAGCGATTCCAGTTCCAGCGAACCAAAAGGGGCTCTTCCTCTCTCCAGCGATTCCAGTTCCAGCGAACCAAAGGGGTGATTTTTTCCAAATATGAGTTATTTTTTCCTCCAGCGATTGCCGTAATCTTCTCTTCCTCTGTTTCCAACTGTTCCCTTGGCAGTCGGTCCATCCAGTTCGTTTGTCTCAGCATCAGACGGTAAGCATGTTTTTTTCCTTTTCTCAGTTTGTTTTATCTATCTGATTGATTTGTTGGTTTTTCTCTTCTGGGTGGCTGTCTTCGGTTTCTTGGTCTCAAACTGCTTCCTGCCTTCAATATTATTATTCCATTGCCTTATATAGCTAATGTACTCTCCAGTGTAGTTGATTTTACTTTTAGCTGATTCGGTCTGTTGAGGTATTTACTATACTTCATAATGACTTTTAGTTGAAACTTGAATTTAGAGTTTACTTTTCTTAAATTTAAATATATGTGCATTTTGTCATCGAAAAAAATATATATGTGTGTGCGTTTCATTTGTTAAATTACATTTAATAATAATTATTATTAGGAGAAATTAATTTGAAACCCTTATAGTTTGTCTTAATTTCAGTCACTAAAATAAGCCTCCACATAAATGATATCATTTTGATAGATACACATACCCAGACATATATATACACATATTTTAGAAGAACAATTTTATTTTAATTTAAGTTAAAGAAAATAGAAAATATGAAAATAAACAAGATTCAAAATGAAACACAACATAACTATATACATAAGCCATCAGTGAATGCCACATATATGGATATACATACATATATATATATGGATAACTTGTATTCTCCGTTCCTGGATTTTGAATGTGTTGCCGTAGAGATGAATGAAAGATTTCATACATGCTGGCAAAAAAAAAAGAAAAAAAAAAACTCTTCTTCGCCCTCCCCATAATTATGTGTTTTTTTCTTATAATTTATGTTTTAAAAATGTTATCATTTTCATTCTTATATTAAAGCACTCCTAAATTTATAAACATTCATTAAAAAAGTTAAAAAATAGTTCATTAAAAAGATTAAAAATTATTACTGGTTTTCAAAATTACTCTCTAGTTATTAAAATCAAGAAATCTTAATTACTTTTAATTTTGCTTTTACATAATATTTCTCTACAATGCAATTAATATGGATATTTGTGAAATAAGAAGAATTGAGTGCCATATATTTAGCATCATTCGCATGAGTTCTCTTGCTCTCTAATTTACTCGGACAGACGTGTTGGATTCTCTTAGCTAGTCTGTCTTGTTCCGTGTTAACTTTAATGCCTACTAATGATGAATTCAAATTATCTCAAGGTATATTTATGTGTATACTGTATACATTCAAATTAAAGCCACTGCAATTACGCTAATAAATGTGTTCCTGATAAGTGCTATGTATGGTTTTTCATGATCAAATGTAGTTTTGTTTAAGACCTGAAAGCTCTGTAACTAACTAAGGGCTTGTTTGGTTCAACCCCATTGCACTTCACACTACAATGCAGTGCAATGTAATGGGGATACAATGTAATAGTAATTATGTCATTAGTGTTTGGTATGTTTTTTAAATGAGAGTGCAATGAAGTATTTTTTTAATGATCATATAAAATTAAAATACAATAAAAAGACCATTTTATCCCTCAAATAATTCCCTCGACCCCTCCAAAATATCAAAAAAGATTAATTTTTTTTAAAGTATATAAAAATATATTGTCTTGTCCTTTCAACATTTCAAATCTCATTTGTTCATAGTTCATCAATTTCAGTATATAAGAGTATATGAACTAGTGACACACGCAGGATAGAGTTGCCAGCATTTTTTGTTTGGGTTTTTTGAAACTAGAAACTTGGAATCATGGTCGACAAATTCTTCAACTATTTTTCTTAACCCCCTCCCTTCACAGACGCACAAGATAGCAACTTCAATCAAAACTTAACGGAAAACAATAACAAAACGAATGGCGAAAGTAGAAGAAACAACAGTGAAAGAGAACAAAAAACCAACACTTACCTCATCAGTGCAAGTAAGGACATCTCTCCTTCCGTTTGCCTCAAACCCACCTTGTTCTCAAGTGCCGCTCCCTTGTTTGTATTTCTGGAGATATATGCTAGGGCTTTTGCTAATGAATAAGTGGATTGCACCATTTGTGGGATTTTCTTAATTAATGACGTGATTGCATAATTTGTGAGATTTTGCTGATGAACAATTCGGTCGCATGAGATTTTGCTGATGAACAATCTGCTTGTATGATTTGTGAGATTTGCTCATGATTGATCTGATTAGGCAATTTGTTTATGAGGGCAAATTCTGTCTTTTCGTTATGTTGTTTAGGACAAAATTGATATTTCATAAAAGATTATATATTTGCAATGAGCATTCATAAGGGTTCCCCTAGGAATGAATATTACTAAAAAATGTGCAATCATTTTTACCAATGTAATGTCTTTTACCATCAATAAGTCCAACCAAACAAGTTATATGTGGTAATGCAATAAGAATTACCATTGCATGTGTGCAATGGGATTGAATCAAACGGGCCCTAAGTTATTGCTACCCTATATTGTTGTCTTGCCATAAAAAAATGTAGTTTTGCTTCTTTATTCTTTCTTGTTTTGCTCTTTCAAAATCTTTATTTTTTTTAATGCTAAATGAAATAAGAAAGTTGGTTGAATGATTTTAATGTCGCTAAATACAATTTTTTCAATATTTGCAGCTAAATACTTTAAGAAAGTGAAACAAATGCAGAATTATCGGGACGAGTGCTGTCAATATTGTGGCCACATAGGCCTTCAGAGCGGAGATGATGGTTTTTTCTATTGTATGCGATGCTCTTCTCAATCGGAGGACTTAATTGAAACGGGTATGGCTGATGAGGACATGGCTCCTGGCGGCATATACTCGGTCAGGCACCGCCGTAAGCGTACTAATGTAATGGAAGTCATGCCTGTTTCTCAGCATGACCCCCTGTACGATTCCCAACCTCAATTGTGGAAGGCCCTGGGCTTGGAAGATCAGTTCCCTCAACGAAGAGATGACCCCTCGATTCTTGATGATTTTGGATGTTTGAGTAACGCAATAGCTCCAAGCTATGAAGATTACTACAATAGCGTGAGGTTCAGGTATCTAATAGGCTTACAGATTATGTTGCAGCTTCAATGCGAAACACTAGTAAAAAAGTTCAAGGTGAATCATCAGATATGTGATTTGGCTGCGGAATATTGGTTGAAGTATGTAGAGAAGACTAATATCTTGGGTTGCGACTGGGCTGATGTAGTTGTTCTTGAGTCTGAAATGCAACAAGTTGCAGGTAATACTTATTTTTACAGCTACATTTAGATTGAATGAAATAATATGTCTTTAGAGATATCATAGTGTGTGTCGCATTCTTGTGTAAGTTCTTTAAACCATTTAAACATCACATCAAGCACGATATATTGTAGCACACTAATTCCAAATGATTAAATCTTGATTTTTGTTTGGAGTTTGGATCTCCAAATTTTTTTAGCTTAATAAGAATGACACCATACATACTTACTTATTATCTCATTAGTTGGGATAGAAGAAATAAAATCTACTTTAGTTTTTAATGCATTCACATATATACATGTACATAACTACGTTATACATATGGGAGAGAAAGAGTAGTTGGATTGAACAGACCAAAATTTTGAATGTGAAAGTTGTTTGTTTTGCCGTGTGTATATAACATATCTACTTTCCTTTTTTTTGTACAAGTGTTTCCAACATGTTAAAACTCCCTTCTATTCAATAATGGTTATATTACCCATATCTTATGTTTTTTATTTCTATTTGTGCTCTATTTGAAATAGGTTAAGTTTATCCATCAAGAATGGACTTATAGGCTTTTTCTAACTGTTTATGATCATTCATTATTAGAAGTACTGATTATTGGAGATAATATGCATATTTTGCAACTATATCAATTACTTTCTAATTTTTGAGACTTTCCTATTATTGTGCATGTCTATGCTTCTCATTTTCATTACTTATTTAGGGTCTGAAGACAACGTTCAAAAACTACCTGTGAAACACAAAAGAGAATTTCACAATATCCTTGGTGAACGTGTTGTAATGATATGGTACAAGTCTTTAAGCAAGATGATTCCATTGGATTGTACTGTAGCAATTTTATTCTTGGCTTGTCACATGACTAATGAGGCAGTGTTACCTATAGACATCTCACAATGGGCTGTTGAAGGAAAACTTCCATATTTATCTGCCGTTGTTGAAATCAAGAAGCGTATGGGGCCATCTAACAGTTCATGTCCTATAGATTTCAATCAAATGTTCAAACCTTCACGAGATGTCTTGCCACAAAAGATTGAGACTTTGGCTGCAACAATTGCTGATTTTATAGGCTTGGAGATGCCTCCTGTGAACTTTTTTGAAATAGCTAGTCGATATATCCGGCAGTTAAAGCTTCCTTATGAAAAGATTCTGCCTAAAGCAATGCTTATCTATGAATGGTCTTTGTCTCCCGGCTTATGGTTATCCACAAATCAGTCAAGGTTTCCAACTCGCTTATGTGTTCTCTCAATTATAATTGTAGCCATTCGGATGTTGTATAACATTAATGGTTTTGGATTTTGGGAGAGGAGTTTGTCCACTAATGCGGCTCCAAGTGGTTCTAGAGGCAAAAAAAAATGTTCAATGGATTTAAATCTTGAGCGGGAACAACTTGAAGAGGAAGCTGCCAAGCTGCTTTCCCACCTTCATTCCTTATACACTGGGGTTCCAAAACAATATGGTATGAACTTCTTGAAGCTTTTTATTTTAGTTTTTTATTTCATAAGTTACATATAAACAAAAGTATGCATTTAGTTTTCTAACAAATTAAGTTTAATTTAAAAAAGCAAAAATGATTATATTAAAATATCATTATTTGATAACTTTTTGTCTATATTTAACGGTGTAGTGTAAATATTTTTGGGGTAATGAAACTAATATTGTTAGCGTTAGAAGATTATTAACACTATTTTGTATGAAATTAGTAGATGGAATGTGCACTTTTAGTTTATTTATATATGAATTTTCTTTCTATGGTAACTTTGTTAAAGAACTTGATGTTTTTGGATATATGGAGTCAGAGTATGCAAAGGACTTGCAAACATATCTCAAATATTGTGAGGATTCTGTCTTTGCTGGATTGGAACTACCTTTTGAAGATTACGAAGAGAACATGATGATTAAAGATGGAGAGGTAAAATAGAACCCTTAATATTCTTGTAAAGTTTATTTCCAACTCATTAATTTTGAAATAAATTCTCAAAAACTTAATGAGAAAAAGTTTACTTTTGACAAATTACTAAGTTGAGAAATCATTTCAAAATATTGGAATTGGTTCAGAATTTGAAACATAATTCATTGATTTTTCTCATTGATTTCAGGATTCATGGGTGTCAAAGGTTTCAGAACCCAAAACTGATGAACAAAAATTTGCAGGCATCGAAGAAAATGAAGCTCTCAAAACATTGAAATTGGACATGCAAGAGAAGGGATTTAATTACATACCTCCAAGGATGAAACCAAGAAAATTCAATTATATTTACTATGGGAGAAAAAAGGATGATGGTATTTTGTCTTATGTTGCTCATGCTGATTATTACATTTTACTTCGTGCTTGTGCTCAGCTTGCACAAGTTGATATTCGGATCATGCATATGGCGGTAATGAAGTTTGAGAAAAGGCTGGATTGGATCGAAAAAAAGATTGAAAACATCTTGTCTTTTGAATCCACAAAGTGTGAGCATTGTTGCCACTGATTTGGGTGTTGTGAATTGATTTTTTTTTTGCTCCTATATTTGTAGTACTTTCATATGGATATTGTGAGTTGAAGCCCTCTAAGTTAGTCTCGTTTTGTAGTTTGTTCTTGGATTAAATGAATTAGTGTGGCTTTGTTACTATTGCTTGTTAGTCATGATAATGCTTATTAGCTTACCTTGTTTTGATTACAACTTTATAATGTTTTCAAGGTAAAATTGTTTAATACAATAATTGTTTTATTATTTTGGTTCATGAAAATATTGAATGGCAATTATATTATATTGGCTTAATACAATATTTTTTTGGATGTTATGGATAATCTTGAAATGCTAGATTTGTGATTTATAATTTTTTTTCCTTATTACTTTAGTTCACATATAGAACTACATATTTTGACATTAGACTTAAGATAACTAGCTATATGATTAACAGTTTTACTATTTTCATATTCCCAAGTGACTGCATATGATTGGATCTTGATTGGGAATAAAGATTTGACAATAGAATTTGCTTCATCAACCTCATAAGTTCAAATTTTGTTAATGAGTATTATCATAAACCATCAAGGAGTAGAAAAGATGGAGATGACTAGTTTTTTTGCCAAAAACAGTTTTTTTAATCAATAAATACGTTACTTTATGTAGTTTATTTGTTGTAATTTAATCTTTCTGCTAATCTATGAGTTTAGTTTTCTGATTTCAGGAATATTGGATGAACTTGAACTTGTGCCTTTATCACTTTCTTTTAATATGTGTATATATATATATGTATAATCGAAATGATATTAATACTAAATACATATACATAAGCTATAAAATAGAAAAAAAAATGGAGGGATACATAATGCCAGAAAATTATTAAAATAAAAAGGTCAAATAATTTTATAGGTAATCCTAAAAAGAAAGCAACAAGAATAGAATAGAATCCTCAATATAAGAAAATGAAGTATTTTATTTTATATAATATAAGAAATATGTGATCCGGACTATGTTAAATGCATCAATGAAATATCTAGAAAATAATAGCACTTAAATGATATACAACGTAGAACTTTTAATATTCATTTTAAAAATGATGAATACAATAGATAATATGAAACTTGTGATATATATCATAAGAGTGTTAATCACATGAATGGAATTATAAAGTCTCAAATCTGCAAAATATTTTGATTTCATAGTATTTTACCAATGAACTAGTAATGTTTAATGATTAATTAATCAGAAAAAAATTAATTAGTGAGAAAAACATGAAGTTAATCAATCTTAATAATAATTTTTTGTTTTTTTTTTTGTTTACATACCAACTGCAAGTTAAATGCATCATTTATAGGTTAAATTATACACCCTCTTGAATTTTGGGTCAGTTATGCTTAGCATTCCTATCATTTTAAAGTTTAAATTTAGCTTTTTTAATCATGTAAGTGACCATTATCTTTTTTTATGAAAATTGCCGCATAAGATCGATAAAAGGCGCGCAATATCCGACGTGGCATCTCATATAAGTTAATAATTATAAAATTCCCCTAAAGTTTAATCAGTTGCATAGCCCGCCGTAAAAAAAAAAAAAAAAAAAAAACTCTTGATTCTTGAATACTAAATCTAAATTTTGAAATGCTAAGGAGACCATATACAAGTACAACCCATCCAAAGTTTAAGGGATTTTTATAAAATTAATAACTTATGTAAGATACTATATATGATGCCGCATATCTTCTATTCAGATAATGTGTCAATTTTCGTTAAAAAATAAAAACTTAATGGCTTCATGATTAAAAAAAAAAAGGAGGAAGAATTAGAAAAAAGGTCTATAGAGAATAATATTTATTGAAGAGGACCATGAATATTGTAACTATTCATGAAGACCAAATATCAAAGTATAAAATTAAAATACTATATTGCCCCTAATTATATCGTCAACATATCATTTAATTATCAATATCGGTGCCTATCCGTTTTTATATCATTAAGGTTTTTTTCCTTGATTTATATAATCTATTATAAATAAACTCTAGGGAAAATTCCAAAAAAGGTTCTTGGAATATAGAAAATTTCAGATTGGGTCCTAGAATTTTGAAAATGACAGAAAGGGTCAATGACCCAATCTGTCATTTGTGAAATTAAGACAAATTGACAATTTTGCTCCTGGCTAAACAAAAGTGAATAGTTATTCTCTAAACAAATCTAGATAACGCTTACACTGTTCTAGTGATTACAAGATTAGTTATAGTTAATAATAAGGTACCTGACTATGAAAAAGTGAGTAGTTATTCTCTACACGAATCTAGGTAATGCTTACATTGTTTTAGTGATTACAAAATTAGTTGGAATTAATAACAAGACACTTGACTATAAAAAAGTGAGTAGTTATTCGTTACACGAATCTAGATAACACCTATATTGATTTTTTAAATCAATGAATATAAATAAAGACAAAGTTGTCACTTAAAAGTGACTTCAGAGATCCATTGGATAATTGCTCGATTTCCCAATTGGCGAAAAATGAGGCTCTTTTCAGTTGCATCTGTTGCCAATGGCATGTAGTCACAGATTTTTCGAATGTCTTCTGGATGTTGGGGATGGGAAGCTTGGCATGCCGCATGATGTACTGCACTAATTGAAATCCCAAGTGAGTCACTTAAAAGTGATTTTAGAGATCCACTGGATGCAATTGCGAGCTCCACTCATCTCGATTTGTTGGACAATTTGTGTAACATCTTGAAAGTTTAAGCTAAGTATTAGTGAACAATTAAGCTTGATTTGCGTGAGAATAAAAGTTAGTTTTGTTGATTAAGGTTAATATAGGCATAAAAATATAAAGAAGAATTACTGAAAGCCATATCTTCTAAACTTCGTAGAGCAGTCTTGAAATTCAGAGATTTTAAATAGACAAACAATAATATTTTTAAAGAGACAAGCAATAATATTTTTAAGTAATTCTTTTTGCACATCTCAAACTTTCCAAAAATACCTAGTATGTTATTTTTGAGATCCATTGCTGAAGTTGAACATTTTTGGTCTAAGTCGAAGAGGTTTTACCAAGCATACAACCATTGAGGAACATGCATTCCAAGCTTTGATACTTCCATCTCGTATCTGATTCTAATCAACATTAGATCATAGATGCGATAACTTTGTTTTCAGTCTTCCCATACAACCCATGAGGGGGCAAAATCTACTTCACCTTTATATCGAAATTATTCATACAACCGATACGAATTTCGTCTATGATGTTTCAAAATCCTCAATAAATCCTGATCATTTTTTTCCAAATGTGAGTAAGCCCCCACAACATAATGAAACTCTTTTCCATACATATGCGATGCACATGCAGCTTTGTAGGCGAGTAACTGCAAATCACCTAAACCATAACAAAAGTAGACACAAAAAATTAGCATGTCTTGCCCAAAGCAATAATTTATGAGATGAAGTAGATAGAAATTTCAACAGTTCTAAGAGATAAATTAATTTAAAGGCATCAGAAGAATATATATACCAACAGCAATTTCTGACTTGAGAATTTTAGAGCTAAAATGTAAGTTTAACCACCACCTGCCTCGCACCCTCCAAAACTTCTTTGTAAATACTGCAGGAGCACTTCTTTGGAAAGTAGAATTGCGTTGTTTATGTTTATCTTTATGGTTTCTACAACCTTGCTTATTGTCAGATAATCTAAGGAAACAAGAAGCAAACAGCCTCCATGTGTCATAGTGCTCCACATTTGCAGCATCCAAGTGAGAAGCAATAATTTCTACCAGAGATTCAACACTATAGTGCCCTGCATGATATCAAAAGAACAGAAAAGCATGGAATTAAAAATTATGAAGGCTTCTAAATTATATTGTAGAAGGTAAATATGATGATTTAAAAAGTAAAGGAAGACAACAAAGTACCATCGTCATGCATCTTCACAAGCTTTTCTAATGTCTCAGAACATGTTGGATCCTTCTCTAATATATCCTCAAAACAGCTCACAAGTAAGAGAGGATCGTTTGAATTAAATTGCTCCAAGAGGATAGCTTTCAATCTACAAGTGCGTAAATAAGAGACATTGTGAAAGGGGGGTGGAAAAAAACAAATTCAGAGTATTTGCTTGTGTCAAAAGCTATCACCCAACAATATGAGTACCCACAAGGAATACCAGGAAAATAAGTTTATATGAACAATAAAAATCACAGCAACCAATAATCTTCGATTGCTTAAAGTAATATCTAGATTTCATTAGGCAGAGTCAGCTATATGGATCACATGGTACTGTCATGCTCTATCAATGACCAAAAACTAGGGTAATGCTTGGGAAAAAACGATTTCTACATAAGCGATGACATTGTGGGGACATAAAGGGAGGGAATAGGGATATAGTAAATAATAGTATAAAGCCCCCTTCCTTATAATGGTGATTGGACTTAACTACTCTAGAGGCATACAAGGTAGGAATTTCTTAACAACCGTATAAATAACAAGTAGACAAGATTCATCGACAGCATTTGCAATCCTCATGCAAATAGATCCTTTTTTTTTTTTTTGGGTCTTTTTTGCTGCTGCTTTTTTTTTTGGTGGGGTGGTGGGTAAGTGCTTTCACCACTATCACTATAACTTCATATTCCGCCGTGAACCTTAGACAAAGGTCCAAATCTCTATATTCATAGTTCCCCCCATCCAGCCTCATTATCAAACTCAATGTGCTTGCAAACAAATAACCAGACCTGCTATGGAAAATTCCTCTAGTCATGCATATAATCTAAGCACGGCAAATAAATAAAACTATAGAAGTATGCTATATATAGTCTGATAAAACATTTCTTTTCCAAGGGAGTTTAGCCAAAGCTAAGCACGGAATGTGAGGTGTAGCCTTGCTCTTGCTAGTATTTCATTAAAAAGACATATCATTGATCCATCCATTGCATACAAAAAGCTAAGGGGTACATACCTAAATGGAAGAGCAGAGAGAGAAGCACAGCACTGCTTCTCAATTATTTTTAGTGCCTCATCAACTCGACCTCCAATGAGCAAAAGCTGG